CGGCGGGGCCTCAGATGATCTTGAAAACGCTGGGAGCGTTGTTGTGCTCTAGCACTTTCGTTTCGTTGTGGGCGTTACTTTTGTTACGTTTTCAGGTCTGGGATCGGCCCGTGGCACACCTGCTCGTTGTTGTGCCCGTTCTCAGTACGTGCTTCGTCATACGTGCGTTGTTACAGTACCAAAGCGCCGCCTGGCTGACGTCCGCATTCCAGGGTCAGGGGGCCACATGCGAACCCTACCCCACCCCCCCACGATTTCTGAGGGGGAGGGTGGGGTTCACTTCGTTCGGGAGCTCCCGAGCGAAGTGAACCCCACCCTCCCCCTCAGAAATCCTAGGGGGGGTAGGGGTAGGGTTCGCATGTGGCCCCCTGAGGGTGTCGTTGCTCGAGCGTTGTTGGCCACATCGAGCGCGAAGAAGCGGACGCGCATCGCCCGCAGCTTCTTCTGATAATGCCCCAAAGGCCGGGGCCTGGCCCGCCGAGGGCGCCGCAGCGCCTGGGCCCTCGACGCGCTCGGGGCCCCGCTCGGCCCGACCGGGCTGCTTCGATGTCGCTCCCGGCCAACTCGACCCCGCCTCGACGCCAGTTTTCGCCGAGCGCGTTCCACGACTCGCAAAGTGCCTACTCGCAAACGCCTGAAAAAAAACACATGTTTGCTTCGAGATAACTGATCGTAGATCCCCCGCGACGGATCCAGGCCGTGTGCGAGTAGTGACTCTGCGAGTAGCAGAACGCGCTTGCCCAAGTGTGTCGCCGTGGGGGAAGCGGGTCCTGAGGGCAAGGGGTCCTGAGGCTTTTCGTTGTTTTTGGCTTCCCCAGGCCCTCCACGGGCCCCGAGCCTGTCAGGAGACGACTCAGGATGAGGATTTCGTCCTGGAGGAAGGGCCCGGGGTCCAGGACCTGTTTCCCTCAGGACCCGCCCTCCCCCTTTTTGCAGTCCAGATTGTAGCGGCGATCCGGCGCGGCCCGAGCACTGATTGCACGGCGCTGTCGTGCATCCTGGCGCAGCCAAGTGGAGGCAACTGCAGGCGGCCCTCGGGGAAGCCCCTCTCCTGCTCCTCCTCCTGCTGCTCCTCCTCCCTCCTGCTCCTGCTCCTGCTCCTGCTCCTCCTCCTCCTCCTCCTTCGCCACGGCTGGACGCTGCTCGGACAGCTCGTTTGTTCGGACCCCCAGAGGGCTCTGGTGGCCGATTCTGAGCTGCGGTTGTCTCAACTCGCCCTCCTCGGGCGGCGCTCGGGCGGACTCGGGGGGGAAAGGACCATCAGCGATGCCTCAAGCTTCCGGTTGCGCGCAGGCAGCCTCCCCGTTAATTAAGTCCCGCGTGGCCTCGCAGGCCCCCCGAGTGGTCGGGGCGCTCTCGACGCCCTGGCGCTGCCTCCAGCGGCGCCCCCCCGGGCCCCAGGGTCGAGGCGCCGAGACCACCCCCGGCTGCTCGGGGCCGGGGGGGGGGGGGCGCTGACTGTGTGCGCGCCCCGACGCTCTATACCACAAAGGACACGCCGCCGTGGGTCGCGCGACAGGCCGGGATCATCGAAAGAGCAGGGAGGGCACCGCCCTGCTGAACCCATCGGAAGGGCGTGGTCCTGTTCAGGAGGGGAAAAAACACACAGACACAATTAATCGTCGATCCCCCGGAAAATATTGGAAAATATGGGGATTGGGGGGGAAGACAAAAACCCAGAAAATATGGGAAAATATTGAGAATATTTTTATTTGTGTGTATTTATTTGTGTGTCCTGGGGCCCCTTCACCTGTACTGGGTGACGCTGGGGCGTGCCACCGCCCAAGACTGTCGCCCCCCACCAAACCACCCCAACCCGAAGGCCGAAGGCCTCCATTTGCCCTCCATTTCCAGTGGGGGGGGTCCGAGAACACAGAAAAAACACATGTGGAGCCCATACCCCCCCCAACCCGAAATTCGGGCCGTCGGGTTGGGTTGGGGTGGTCTGGTAGGTAGTCAAAGACTGTCGCCCCCCGCGGTTGAGCTCTCGGTGGCGGTGGGTGGTGGCCCTTGTTTTTCTCCTCTGAGTTGGGAGCCCGCCAGCGGGTTACCCCTTCGTCTTTGTCCGAGGGCTTGGTGCGGCCTTCGGCAGCGACGCGCTGGTGGGTTCCTCACGGCGGCATGCCGTTGATGTTGGTTCCCCTCCTCGCAGACCCGGGCATCCGACGATGTGATTTGCGCTGTCCCGATGTTTCTGTTTGGATCTCAGCCCAGGCCCCTTCACCGGACCCCGTGACACTCCGAAACGCGTTTGGGGAGAGGGACACATGAACCACGGGGAAGGGGGCGGGACCTGGGGCCGTGCACTGACAAAAGCACACCGTCGGATGTCCGGGGAGGTCTCCGTCAGATGCTGCGGCGGGCGAACCTGGATCATCGCCTTGCGCCGTGGAACAAAAGCACACGACGGACGGTGTCGGGCAGTTGTCTGCATCTGGGGGCCCTCGCCGAGCCCAAAGGCCGTCCGAAGACGGCGCGACATGAGGGTCCGATGATGGCCGCAGAGCGTGCGTTGCATTGTCTGTGGCAGGGGCGGTGCGGGCGGAGGGGGGGCACCGCACGTTGTCTTGTCGGCGGCCACTCTGAGCGGAGGCGTGCGTCTCAACAGGGTATTAGCCTGGCCCGGGGTGTAGAGGAGTGGGCTCGGAAGAATTGACACGCAACAGCCACCCAGAAGGCCAAAGGGATTCCGTGGGCAGCCCGACGCACGGCACACGATTGCAGCAGAGCCTCTGTCCTTCCTCCTCGTCCTCCTCCATCTGTCTCTCTTTCCTCCCTCCCTCCATGCATGTCCTCTCCCCCTCCCGCCCCCCTCCTCCTTCGCCCCGTCCCACCTCATCCCACCTCCCTCCTTTCTTTCGTCCCTCCCTCCCTCTCATCCTGCTGATCCCTCTTCATCGTCCCTCCCTCTCTCTTCCCCCACCGCGCGCCCCTTGTGGGCGGTCCCGCACGCGCCCTTCCCTCCTCCATCCTTCTCCCCAGCCCCCCCCGCGCGCGCGTTGGAGCGCGCGGATGGGGAGGGATGAGGAGGACGAGGGGGAAGGAGGACGAGGAGGACCAGGGGGAAGGGGGAGCAGGGATCAGGAAGGGCAGGAGGAAACCATCTAGCAGGAGGATCAGCGAGCGTCGAGAGGGAGCGGTGCCGCCGTTCTCCGCACCGGGGTCTTGGGCCCCACGTACTTGAGGAGCCCAGGACCCCCCGACCGTGAACACTGCCCGTCCTCGGCTCACTCCTTGCCGTCGGGGGCACAGTCGCTGATGCGCCACTGCATCTACGGGAAGGCATGGGGTGGGAAAGGGCAGGCCAGCACGCGAAACGGCTAGGTTCTCACCCCTAACCACGCAATCCCCGTCCTGCCTGGTCGTGTGCACGGCGAGCAGCTGCAGCACGGCCAGCGAGTCCGCCGTCGGCGCGAGGCGCGGGAGTCCCAGCCAGCGGCCACGGCGCGCGGCGGGGGCAGGCGGGGCGCAGCGGCCGTGGCAGGCGTCCGCGCCCGCGGCTCCACCCCGCGAGCGCGCCCTCGCGCCCAGGGGGCGTGTGCGCCGCACGCCGTGCAGCGCAGCGGCGAGGCCAGTCGCAAGAGCCCGGCTGTGTGATCCCCGCGGCAGCTCCGCGGCGCACGGTCGGTGGTTCAAAGATGAGATCCTGAGGGATTGGGTCCTAAGTGTCTAGGAGGGGGTCCAAGGGTGGATTTGCATAGTTTGAGGCACCACGTCCTCAGGACCCCATCCCTCCGGACCCCATCTTTGAACCACCGACAAGGGGCCATGGGGTCCGCTGTCACTCCTCGCTAGCGCCGCGGTGGCGGCGGTCCGCGCCACAGACGTCGGCAGGGCCGCCTGCGTTCCCAGCGGCCATCCGGAGGCAGAGCGGGCGCGGGGCCGAGCGCGAGCCGAGGCGGCTACCAAAAGAGGAGGGGGAGGAGGAGGAGGAGGAGGAGGAGGAGGAGGAGGAGGAGGAGGAGGAGGAGGAGGAGGAGGAGCAGGAGCAGGAGGAGGAGAGCAGGAGGAGGAGCAGGAGGAGAGGAGGAAGCAGGAGGAGGAGGAGGAGGAGGAGGAGGAGGAGGAGGAGGAGGCGCGGGTTCGTTCGGCGTCCGGGAGCGGCGCGGAGGGAAGGCGAGCGGACACGGTCCGCCAGAAGGAGAGGGAGGAGAGGGAGGAGAGGGAGAAGAAGGAGGAGGAGGAGGAGGAGGAGGAAGAGAAGGAGGAGGAGGTGGAGGAGGAGGAGCAGGAGCAGGACAGAGGAAGACAGAGGAGCAGGTCGTATGGCAAGGGACATGGAGGACGGAGGGGAAGGATGCGGGATTAGGAGAAGGACGGAGCACGATAGTGATGATGGATGAAGGATAAGGGAAGTACGGAGCAGAGGGGACGTCAGGCATCGACAAGTAACGAACAGCTGGTCTGGTCCTGGGGTCCTAGTGTTCTGGGTTCCTTCCCTCGGGTCAACCTGCCACTTGGGCAATGGCATCCTCATCGATGGCGATTCTTATGATGGTGTTGTTGATGATCTTATGCTGATGGTGGTGATGGTGATGGTGATGGTGTTGGTGATGATGATATTGATGATGCGCCATACCGCCATGCCTGGGGCAGTCCATGACGCGCGTCGCGCGCTCGTTTACATCCGGGGCCTCTACAGCCTGGCGTTGAGAAATAGCAGTTGCTGCCGTTGCAGGACCCCGAGCAAGAACATGTGGGATCTCCCCCCCTGCGCCATCCGCCCTCGCTCTTCCTTTCGATCGCGGGCAACGTCAGGGGGGATTGGCTCAAGGGGGGCGCATCGACCTTCAGTCGCCCGCTGCTTGCCGATAGGGGCCTGCTATCCCACCCCGCCCAGGACCCTGCGGACTCTCCATCAGCAGCCTGCCGCCGATCAATCGGCGATGCTTCGTCAAGTCGAGCTCGATGTTCCCCCCCCCCCCCGAAGCTGGCCCCCCTCAAACTCTGCCCTTCGTTCGAGCCATCACCACTGTCATCGCCCCCCCGCGCTAGTCTAGGGCTCCCCCCTGGCCCGGGCAAGGACCACGAGGGGCCGATCCTGGAAGCGGCGCCGCCGCTGGACCAGGACGAGGAACACCCCCCCTGGCCGCTCCGCTCCCCCGCTCCGCTGCACCGCTCCGCAGCTAGCTCCGCCGCGTGGCACCGCCTGGTGTCTCTCGAGGAAGGAAACATGGCACAAACATGAATCGAGGCCTCCCTGACGGGGTCCGAGTAGACGGGGTCGGAGGATCGCGCCGCATCGCCGTCATCGGCGATGTGGCCCTGGGGTGCTTTCCAACAGCTGCGCCTCGCCGAGAGCGTTTTGGGAGGGCCCAGATCGTCCCGAACGGCTGCCAGAGACTCGAGTTATGACCCGAGCACCAGACCGGGAGGATCATTGGAGGGCGTAGTCAGAGGATGGACAGTTGAGTTCACGGTAGTTGGCCTTCGGGGGGGAGCCTAGTCGCCACGGTTGGACGCAGTTCGGGAAATTCATGCGTTTGGAACCCTTGGAGGGGTCCATGAAGAAACGATTTCGAGCTCCCGTTGTCTCAATTCGCCTTGTTCCGAGATGGGGTCGGCGGATCGTCCCGCGCCATGCATCGGCATTGTGGCTCGATGTGGAACTCGATTTTCTTCACGCCGACGTCGCTGGTGCACCGCTGATGCAACTGCGTTGCGTCGGCGATGCCGCGCGATCCCCTGACCGCCTGTGCTCGGACCCCATTTGAGAGGACTCCCCATACCTTTGGGGCGAGTCCCAGGAAGCGCCAGCTATGTCCTGGGGCGTCGAACCGAGGAAACGCAAGCATAGAACAAGGCGAGTGGACTAGCGGTGGTTGCGGCTTCAATGCGAAAGACCTTGGCATCGCTCGGGCGTGCGCATTTTTTCACGGCGAGGGCCTTTGACCATGGAGGATCATCCTGGATTACTTTGCAAAAACACAGCGCTCGAAACCGACGACTGCACTGGGAATGGACGTCCGAGCGATGGCAAGAGTTAGCGCGCGTAATTTCCAAATCGGGCGGCGATGCTCTGCCCCGCGTCCGCGTGCCATATCCAAGGATGTGTAATCCAGGTTGCCGCTTGCCTGGTCGAAGCGGGGGAT